TGTGTTGATATTGTTATGGGAAATTCGTCACCGATCATTGTACTCAAGACTGTTCATATAGCTTGAAAAAGACATTCTAAGAATTTAAGACTTGTTTAAGTACTGTTGTAAAATAAGGTGTTTTTACTTCACTTGCTACTCAAATGCAAGAACTACTCATATAGTGCTCCTATAGTTTTGTGCAATATTCATAACTAGAGATATTTAATTTTATTTCATAGCTTGGGTGGCCTCACTAGCCTCCAGCACGATGTATCTCTTCGCTGCCGTTGCAACCTCCCTCGCTGAGCGTTATGGGAGTCGAATAGTCGTCATCATTGGGTCGTTTGTCTCAGCCTCAGGCCTTCTCGCCAGCTCCTTTGTAACAACGCTTCAGCCTCTATATGCGACCTACGGCGTAGTTTGGGGACTGGGAGCAAGCCTTGGCTTATTCCCCTCGATTGTGATTCTCACCAAGTACTTCAGAAGGCGCCTGGCCCTTGCTTCGGGGATAGCTCTAGCAGGCGCTGCCTCGGGGGCCCTCGTCTATGGCCCGTTGATAGAGTTCCTCTCGACCAAATTTGGCATGTCAACGACGTTTCGAATTCTCGTGGGTCTGCAGAGTCTGATGCTTTTAAGCGCGTTGACCTTTTCGCCTGTAACCATGGCAACAGGGAGAAATCAAGCTTCAATGAAATTCGACTTTAGTATATTTAGCAACAGATTCTACGTCATCTGGGTGGCAGCGCAGTGCACCTTTATGGTGGTATTTCTTGTACCTTTTGTTCATCTGGTGAGTTGCTTTGTTCGTCTGTCCATACATAGTGTCTTGTTGTGTCAAAGATGAGCTACAATGTTAGGCTGAAAAGCTAGGCTGAAAGGAAGCAGGAATGCAAGAGCGTGGAGTAATGCGGGAGGGGTGGTAGGGGGAGTTGGTGGCTGAACCCTCTTTTATTGGTTAAAAATACTTGCTATATGGTTAGCTACTTGGGCGGGTAAGATGAACTGAATCCTGCGTTGTGATTGGCTTCCTGAGTGGGCAGGATACCCGCTCGGGATTACCCGCTGTGTCCCAGAAGAAAATAGAGTTTTTTTTCCATACAATAAATCTTTTATTGACCAAGCTTGTTTGGTCTTGATAGCTGGATTAGATATTGACCTCGTTCTTTTTTGCGTTTTTATGGACCTCGACTTCTTTTCGGTCCATACACACGTCAAAAAAGAAAAGGACTTGGCCAATATCCAGCCATTTTGACCTAACGCTTGGTCAATAAACCATATATCTTTGCGGTTGGCCGGGGCCACACCAGTTTTAGAAACCAGGTAGAAGCGTAGCCGCCACAAAAGGTGAACACATTGTTGCTTGTAAAAATATGAATCCTCTTCAACACCTTTAATCTTTTCCTCAGGTTTGCTTTGCAGAAGATAAAGGAGTCAGCAGTACCAAAGCCTCATTGTTGACGGGTTACATGTCAATTGGAGGCGTGTTAGGAAGTTTAGTCTTCGGTACATTTTGTGATTATCCTCGCTTCAAACGCCTTCTAGTCTGCCCAGGAGCAGTACTCTTCATCGGGATCTCCACGTCTGCTGTAACCGTGGCAACGAAATACGAGTGGATAAGCGTGTACGCGTTCGCGTTTGGTTTCTTCGACGGTTGTTACGAGATGTTACTGCCCGTTATCACGCGAGACCTCGTTGGCGTTCAAAAGGTTGGGCATGCTATTGGCGCGTTGTACTGTTTAATGGCGTTTCCAAAAACGTTAGGTCCACCCATGGCTGGGTGGATTTTTGACGGGTCAAAACGCTACAGCGTATCGTTTTATGTCACTGGCGGCGTGGCGGTCCTTGCCGCTCTCATTATGTTTTCGCTGAATTGGGTTAAACCTGTTAATGTACATGTGGTTGGAGAAAGAGAAAGGTTATTGCCTTCTGAGGAAACCAAAGGATCATGCAAGGGGATGGTATATACCTAAGGAGGAGTCTGATATGTAAAACGTTATCCCTTCGGTGGGGGAAATAGCTATCATTTTACCTCCGAGAATATGCCCTGCCTGTGGTTGCTGTCAACTTGGTTGCTAAGCAACATGACGTCACCTTATGGCGACTTTGTGACTTGCCCATAAATAGAGTGTTCATGGTTTTTCTGATTGGAAGATATTAATTGGATAACAAAATGGTTCACTCACGGCGTCTTGACAAAAAAGAGCCTGTCTCCCGGAAATCATGTTAATCTGATTGAATTGAGAGCAATTTTACAAAACGTTTTTATGACGTATGATGTAAGTGAAATAGTACACTGTGAATCTTGCAACAAGCGTTACAGTTTTTAAGGCTACTGTTTATTCCGGGGGGTACTCCCATATGAAAAGGTCGGAGATGCTCGTCATAGAATTTGAATTTAACCCTACGGGAGACCATTTTGGGCGTGGCTCAGCTTTATTTGACCACTAAAAGATACCAGTTAAAATTCGATCACCAGCCGCTGCTCAGGAAAGAAGCCCGTACTTTTAGACCGGACTCCAGAGACCGGTGGAAAATCGAGCCTAAAAACGGAATTGAGAGCGTTTTTTAATATTATTTCTTCGAGTGCACCCTAAAAGATTTTTCGACAGCTATTGTTTATAGCAGGTCTTTTGAAAACAAGTGTCCGTACCCTGTCATCGACTACACTTTCTCGTGACAAATGTTCTCTCACTGAGTATATCGCAAGATCATTGGTAAACATTCATCTTTTCCTGATGTTTTCCTTCTTTTCCTTATCGCGTTTGTTTATTCCCGGAAAACATTAATCACTGTCGTCGTTTCAAGACAAATTTACTTGTCAGGAACGCAAACTGTCGTGCTGTAAGCCACACGCGAGAAAACATTTCCGGTAAAGATTACACCGATAACTTTCACGATTATCGTACATCGCCTGTACAGTTCTTAGCGCCTTTTCGATATTTCATTTCTAAAAAATATAATGCCCAAGAAAAGGACAAATTCCTTTTTCGAAGCAAGCTATATCTGATCTTCGTGACTAATCCAGTTTAGCCGGTACTTTGGTTGTTTTCTATGTGGCAGTAAAAATGTTAAAATTTTGGAGATTGTTTTTGCTTTGACCTTTAGTTCAGCATTAGTTATGCTGTACTTAACCCTCTTTAAACCCTATTTGTTAACAAGTATTAATAATGTGTAGTCAACACTTTCGACTGTGCCATCAGATCAGGTTAAACCCCTACAAATAGGTTTAACGGAGCCGTAGTTTAGTTTGATTCGAGCCCAAAATATCCGTAACTTTCTCGTTGAAAGTATTTAGACATTCGTGAGAATCACAGCATTGCAGGATGGAGTCGCCTTTCATCACTACCGGCTGGTTTCGTGAAAGCCTAACCGGCCGGGAGTTACGAAAGGCGGTGTCTCTGTTTATGTGTCGAGTACGCCTACCCAGAACTCTTCCGTGCCACTGTGTCAATTCTGCAAGGAAATTTAATTTTAATTTAAGCTATTTTGTTTCGGGCCTTTCTCAACGCGTTTCAGTAAGTAGGCAATGGCAGATCGCTGGGACCACCTAGCAAACAATTTGTACATTTACTGAACTATCTCCTTCCGGAGATAGCTATCAGTTAAGACATGCTAATTCTCTGTAGCGGTTGAGTGGCTTATCAGTCGAAGATTTCGTCAAAACGGAGGCTGTTTGGCGCCCGTAGAGGAAAGTTCAAGAGCTGGGTGTGAAGCTATGATGGTCCATGTTTTGCCCCTTGCGCCTTCTGCCCTTCTGCCCTCTGAAGACCTGACGAAGTAATTTTCACGTTGTAAGCCACCATAACCTCTCCACATCCTCAAAACACCGAGACCTCCTTTCTGACCCGTGAGAAATGTCGTTTACTGTAGAGCATTCATTTACAGCATGCATGCAAACATGTTTATCCTTGCCGGAGGCAGAAAAATAATATAGTGTTTTGCTGGCTTTTCATAACATCATTCTCGCTTTTTGGCGTTAACGTGAAGGAAATGGAGACTAGAGCAAATATTGGTTGACACGGACTTGTGATATCATCGAGATGCCGATAAATGTCATATCGCTTTAACACCACCCATTATTTCAATTTCTGTTTTAACCAAAAGTTGATCTGCCCTCATTGATTTTACAGCTTGGATTTACAGCCTAACGTTCTTGTTCACAACATAAATCTACGAACCCAAATTCAATCACAGCAAAATATAGCTGGAAAAGTAAACAAACGAATCTATGGAAGCCATGGCAAACGAAGCAAAACACATATAACAGAGATATCAGGTACTAGATGGTGGGCGTGCCCAAGTTAACGTGATTACCTTTACCTTTGGCCTTGAATCGAATGCGTCGACCATATGCTCTGGGGAGGGTTAAGAAAACCATTTTCTTTCATCGAGACTGCAAAATCGTTTCAGAGGATTTTAACTCAAGCGAAACGAAACATTTGCGTTTGTTGTTAAGGCCTTTCCCGCTTTTTCGTGCTGACTTGGGCTCTCCTCTCACGTGATACGAAAAAAAAAATGTAAACAAAATTCTTTTCCTCTGTTGGGTAAAGTATGTGAACAAGAGATTGTTTTTATACTTAACCTTTAAGGCTTAATTTGTTGGCAAGAATTTGCAGGGCTTTGCACTCTTCTTGGGAAAGCGCCAAATGAGTTTGCCCTGTATTACCTGTCTTTATAATTCCCCTAATTAGCTGCTTAAAACGACGAAATAAAGTTTAACCTGACCATAGATGGCCGGTGATTCAAAGAGATATTTATATATCTAGACACAGAGGTCGTGTAATTGTCGGCAAATCAATGTAGCAAATAGATTCGCATTAATGAGGATTCGCTGTGTTGATCACTGATAATTTAGGACGTGAGCAAAAGGCCATGGTTTTGAGAGTAAAACTTCTGAGAATGTTTTCTTTGCATTTGATCTGTACCACGTAACTTGTGATTACATACACGATTTCAAATCATTAATCTTGACTTGTCAAAGATTATGTTAATGGCCATGAATTAGTTACCGGAGGACTTGTAGATTTTCACACCAAGAGGAAAACTATTTTATTAAAGAATCCGATAATCTTTTCGCAGCAGTCAGATAATCCTTCTCAGCAGTTTATTTAAAGTGAATCATCTGTGGAGTGATTGCCCTTCTGTGCCACAAGGGTCGTAAGTTCGATTCTATAAGCCTCGTGATGCTTCATTTCTGGGAGAGGGGCGCTATAAAGATGGTAACTTAAGCTTATAATCTTACTTGCTTCAATCAGGAAGAGACAGAGACGTAATGAAGGTTCAGAGAAGGAAGAACACGATAAAATCGTGTGAAAGCTTGAAACTATCAGCAAGAGCCTGAGCAATGAATAATCATTATATTTCAATACTTTAGGATAATCTTTGATAGACACATTCCAGGACAAAAAAAAAGCTAAAAGAAAATAGAGCAGAGAATGGAGTTAATTTTAGTATATTGACCTTTTTAGTGCCAAGGACAAGTATTGTTTAAGTTTCAGTCTGGTTAAGTCTGTTCTAATAACTGAGGAATTGTATCATCAGTCAGAGGCAATATTCGGCTGAATTTAAACTGATTACTTTTCTCGGTTACTCGTTGTAGGCACCCCTCGGTATCTGCTCTGATACGCCGGCAATTTATGGGCGCCTCTTGACAGTGGAGCCCCTTAGTGTTTTACCCATATATACTCTAGTCGAACTCTGAGTTATAAAACAAAAACCACTTTCATGGATGTCCGACTTTCTTTCCCTAGGATGGTTTATCAATTAGCAATTAGGAACAAGAAACTGCAAAAATAAGACTGATGGTAGCCGAAATGTCTAAATTGATGATTTATAATTTCTTTAATGTTCTGAAATTGGTCGTTAGTTGAGCTTTCATCAGCTCCTATGGCGTCTTATCCCAGCTTCATGGTGTTTAAACTACGCCTGTTAGAGTTATTTTTAGCTCGTGTGTTTGAGGATGAGGTAAACAATAGTGCAATATATGTAGATTTTGAAACTCCTTCGGCATGGTGTCTCAACGACTGCATGAGTGTGCTTTTCTTAGCGAAAGGTAGAAAAGAGATCTTGCAATACAAAGGTAAAGATTGTTTCAGGCGAGTGGTCCCTAGAGCCGGAGCTTATCTCAGTTTCTGTAGCATGAAGCGACTTGGAGTATTTCTACTCCCACCACCCACCCCCCCCGGATGGGATGCTAGTCCATTGCAGAACACCAGCTATAGCAGATTAAGTTTTGAGCAGTTGAGGTAAAACGAGTATGGCATGTATCATAAATAACCGAGGAGACACTTCAGCGATGGCACGGAGGTCCGTAACCAGACGAAACTTCTCCCCGAGGCAATATAAGAAGATGTAAACCTGATTGTGGCCTATCAGCACCTGGCAAAAATATGTCGAGGATTTGCAATAAAACATGACCAGCTGACTGTCTACTAATGGTAATTTTTTTTTCGAGCCATAATTAACTTAATAGGGTCTGCTTCAAATTGAGCTTAATTTAATTTTATTTGGAACTCAAAGTCGCCACTAAAATGCTAAAATCCCTAAAGAAAGGCCATTAAATTCAACAAGTACAATTCGACAAATCTAGTAGATCGTCAGGTTTTAGCAGAGCAATGCCTTTTTCCCCTCCATGGGAAGGCAAGTCCCTCGCTGGTAAACAGATTACCTTTAGCATATAAGTCAGGTTGTCCAAACAATTTTCTCAAGCTACACTACTGAAGCTATTTATGCTAATTTATATACATCTAGAGGGAGAGACGTGGTGCGGGAGTCAGGTGTCATTAAAATTTGATTGGTTAGTCCCCACTAAGGGCACTGATCAGGGGATCCCGAAGCATTTCAGCATTCAAACTGCACAGTCGGTCAACGCCACTAACATTATTATTATTTTACAGTCCCGTCCTTGAGTCTTTTGATAACGACACTACAGTTCCAGGTGTTTTCACTCTTTATTGAATGACTTTAGATATGCTTGCTTTCCACGGATAAAGACGGGCTGTAAAATTCAAGACGTTTAAGAATGAACTACAACAGTACTTCGAGGAAATATGTTAATTGAACAAAATGCGTTCGTTGGGAAAGATGTTAAAAAGTGCTTACTTTCGTTAAAAAGTGTTTCCTTTTCTTTAACGATAGAAAAGTTAACAGGCAAAGCGATCTAAACTAAAATGTATTGCATTCAGCAGCAAAAGCAGAATAGTTTCAAATCCGCCGTTATTATTATTATTTTTTTGTACACGATTTTACACCTAAGATATATAATAAAACGATGATTCCCTATTCAGTAATCTCATTCACACCGATTTGAAATTCCGAAATAAATAAATCTGCATTCCTATTCGCAAATA